GTGCTGAGCGCGGATGGTGAGTGGATTCCTTTCTTTTCCCTTTCCCTTTGGTATCGTGCCATTATATTAATATGGACTCCGGCAGGCACTTTGATGGCGAAGAAGCCTTCAATACGGGTCCTATGGCTCCGCCTTCCGAACCACCTGCGAATGTAGCTGTCACGAAGTTGTAAGCTCATGATTTACGGAATCGTACTGGGGCAGTGGCATGTGGTGAATAGAGCGAGGACATTGTTGCATCTTTCTGAGATCATCAAGTACTGGTGATTTCAAACAATGACCACAAACCGGCAAGTCGAGCTATCATGATCTATCACTGCAATGCTCAACTGATGATGCCTCATAGAATTGCTCTCGTTTTCAACGAGCCTTTGCTAGAGATACAGAAGAAAGGCAGCATAGACATAAGAACAAGATTTCTTGCTAGCCGCGTAGAACTATATATGTCATGTATATATGATGTACATAATAGGAGCATCTAGTCCAAAGCGATATGGACAATTGACTTGAAGCAAAGAGTTGATCGCCTTGCTGACTTGAATTCGTGGACGACATTGTTATGGGTATCACTTTGGTGCATTTAAGTTCAACTATAGAGACTAGATGAAAGACGCTACCGCTAATATAGAGATGAATATGAAAAGCAAATATACCTCCGTGTATAGGTCAGTTATCTGCTGGACCCTGTTCAAACTGTGCATGCGCGGCAGGGGCCTCCTCCTGTTCAGTACCTGCATTCCCCGCGCCCTCCGCCACACCAGCTTGAGCCCGTTCCTGCTCTTGGCGCTCCCGTTCCCGTACCTGCTCCTGCTCCTGACGTTCCCGCGCCTGACGCTCCTGCTCAGCCAAGAAAGCTTGGTCTGCCGCAGTGCGAGCCTGCACATGCCGCTCACCAATACCAGGAACTAGACTCGCAAAAAGGAAAACAAGAGCTCGCTCCGTGCGGCGTATCTGGTCCCAAATATTGAACTCGACAGCAGCGTCATTGGCTCCAGTTTGAGTGGCTCGATCTGCCGGGCCACCGGCATGGGTGAGGCCCTCGAGATGGCGTTGGATGGGACTAACAATCGAAGTCGCAAACTGTCGCGGGATATTTGTCTCTGAAAAGAATGACACAAGCAAGGCAATGCCGACGAAGATGTAACGCCTCCAGGTGCCAGGGGCGCTGGTGAGGTAGCAGAAGAGCCACAAACGAGTGAACAGCCAGATGCGGCGGATGTGTCGTGCCAGACCGGCGTGTTCGACGTTGTTGCCTCGGCGCTGCTGGTTGAGCATTGCTTGGCGGAGGGCGTTCTGGACCACCGCTACGTTTTGGTTGAGTGCTTGAGGTACTTGAGGTGCTTGAGGCGCACCCTGTTCGTTAGCGGGGGCTATGTTGGGCGAGCCCGCCCGCTGCGTTGTGGGTTGGGTTACCCAGGGTTGTCTCACGAGATGTCTTTCTCCCGTTGGCGAGGCCAGCATGAAGAATTGCATGGAGCCTGGTGCGAACGTGTTCGAAAAACTTTGAGTAATGGGGGCTTGAGGTGGAACGCTTGCCTGCGACTGCTGTTGCTGCATATATTCCATTAGACGGGCGCGTTGTTGAGCATCAAGAATACGGCCGACCAGTTCCGCAACACCAGGTAGAGGAAGTTGTCTTGCAGGTCGTGCATCTTGAATCTCAAGAAGCTGGTTCCGTATACGAATGATATTCCCTGTGGATGGCATGATACGTCGGTCCAGTTGTCCCTCAATCTCCTCGACGTGTCGTCGTAAAGTGAGAACATGCTGAGAGACATCTGTGCCACCGGCTTCAGGTGCAGTTGTAGTTGCTGAATGTCGGTTAGTTAAAGAGCTGTTGATATATTGGTTGATTGTAACGTGTGGAGAAGTTGGAGTGGCACCACTTGTCCTGGGAATGCTAGAGTACGATGGCACACTGGATGCGGTCACCGAAGCATCGGAATTTGAGTGATCCAACCATGTGGAAGAGGAAGTGGAAGCTTGAGCAGAGTTCCCGAAGGGCGAATCTTGCGGTATCTCAGAGCCAGGAGCTGCTTCTCTGTGTATTGGCTCAGGTGGCAACACGAGGTGCATACTATCAGTGCCATTCTGGAAAAGAGATACCGTTCAGTTAGGACGAAAGGTCATGTGGCGCGAGTTTAGGAGCAAGTTACTTACCTCCATAGATGAGACTACTGCTCTGAGTGTTGCGTCATCGACAGTTAGGGGTTTCCCTCTGTAGATGAGTCTCTGATGCGACGCTTGAGGATTATTCGGAAAGGACTGTTCGATCCGGCCCTTGAGCTGTGCGATTGTGGAGGAGAGTGGAACATTCTCGAGCGTAAACCGGCTTGGAGGGGGTAGAGACTGGCAGAGTATGTGGAGAGTGATTGTGCTCGGTGCATCTCCCTCTGCCACGCGCTGGGATGGTGTTCCTGTTGCCATTCCTTCAGAGTTGTAATTGTTCGCAGGCTAAAAAGCCGATATAGAGCTGATCTAGTTGCTGATATCTGGCATCAATAGATCGATAAGCGATGTCGATGTCGTAATGTCCTCTGTAGGACTCTATAGGACCCAGGAAGGAAGTGGAAAGAACGATGCAAAATGACAGAAGATGCAAAGAGTCAGATTCGCAGAGACTCTCATTTATAATGAAATGGATTTAGATATCAAGAGAAAGACAGGCGATTGCATCTCCACGTGCAATTCTGCCGGGCGGTCAATCGGCAACAACATGTTTCCCCATTTCGGAAAAAAACGCTCTAGGCTTAGGGGTCGATTTTTAGCGCTCCAGGCCGATGGATTAAACATTATGGCCAAGCGCCTTTTCACTTCCTTGCCTCTCCTTCATTGCCCTCCGGCTGCCCCTCGGATCGGCGCTGTGTCGATGGAGGTTCTTTCGTTCCGGGCCACGGCCCGTCACAAAGCCAGCCTCCGGCATTTTTCGTCTAAATCATGGAGACCATATCACAAGGACAATAACTCCGAAAATAACAGAGGAGGATTTGGCTCAAGGCTCGGTTTCGCTCTGCGCAATACCAAAGTCGAATGGTATCCCATCCCCGTCGGACTCGGAATCGGTTTGCTAGGGTTGCTATCTTTCTACAAATCACAACGTGCGGAACGGGATCGGCTGGCTCGCGATGCAGCCGGCGATGAATGGGAAGAGGGAAAACGGCCACCTCCTCGTCCGAGGATCAGCCTGTCAGGCCCGTGGCACGTACAGATCATGTCCACTCTGCCCCTGAAGGCCATGTCGCGTCTATGGGGTCGGTTCAACGAAATCGAACTTCCTTACTACCTCCGCGTTCCTGGATTCAAGCTCTATTCCTGGGCCTTTGGCGTCAACCTCGAGGAGGTTGCCGAGCCCGACCTGCACACCTACCCGAATCTGGCGGCATTCTTCTACCGTAAGTTGAAGCCTGGCGTTCGGCCATTGGACCCCGACCCTCGTGCTCTTCTGGCTCCCTCCGACGGCCGAATCTTACAATTTGGAATGATTGAGCGGGGCGAGGTTGAGCAAGTCAAGGGAATGACATACAGTCTGGACGCTCTCCTAGGATCAGCTACGCCTGCGCACGCTGACCACACCAATCGGCTCACGGACCAGGGCCGGAAAGAAACACAAAAGGATGTCGAGAACATGGCTGCGCATGAAGAGTTTGCGCGCATGAATGGGATCTCCTACACTCTCCCGAGCCTTCTTTCGGGAGAAAATGATGCCCCCAAACGACGTGCTTCATTGGATGCTTCAACGGCATCCAAGTCAACCTCGGAAATCCAGGTGCAAGAGGACCTGGCCCGTGGCGATGGGACACCCTGGTACGCGCCCAAAACAGCAGCCAACCATGCTTTGTTCTACGTTGTGATCTACCTAGCACCCGGTGACTACCACCGTTTCCACTCTCCCGCTCCCTGGGTGGTCGAGAGCCGCCGCCACTTTGCTGGCGAGTTATACTCTGTTTCACCATATTTGCAGAAGCATCTACCCGGACTATTCACCCTCAACGAGCGAGTTGCACTCCTTGGCCGATGGCGGTGGGGTTTCTTCAGTTACACGCCGGTCGGAGCCACCAATGTAGGCTCCATTAAAATCAACTTTGACTCGGAATTGCGCACGAACAGCCTGTTGACTGATACCGCTGCGGACTTGGCAGCGGCCTTGGCTTCTAAGCGAGGTGAGCAATATCCTGGCTTTGTGGAGGCGACTTATCGCCACGCCAGCCGAACGCTTAATGGACATCCCCTGCAACGTGGAGAAGAGATGGGCGGGTTCCAACTTGGCAGTTCAATTGTACTTGTGTTCGAGGCCCCACTTGGAACTCGCAAGTCTATTGATGCCGGCTGGCCTGAAGATGCCCCAAGTGATGGGTGGACTTGGAGTATTGAGAAGGGCCAGCGCATCAAGGTAGGCGAGAAATTGGGCTTCGTTGGTGAGACGTAAAATGCATGTTGCACAGCCCCGGTGCACAGCCGACAGCGATAGCTTATTGTGGTCTTGGCCTACATTTGTTTTGTAGGTCTGTTTTCTTGTACTATACCAGTCCTTTTCTCGATGTCAGGGTCTTGAGCATTTAGTTTAATCACATTATATTTTTTTTTCTTCTTCTTCTTCCTCTTGATCTATCAACTGGCAAAGGAAGTATACTATCAACATCGGGATTTCCTAATTGGGATTAGCATAGATCAGGTCTTGGCGTGATGCTATCGCCTCCCAAATGCCGTCATCGCTGATTGCCCTTCAGCTCCTCCAAGTTGGACGAGATGTACAAGATGTTACTAGGGTTATGTAGGTACAGATAAGTTAGAAGTAGTAGAGATTGGCATTTAAAATTACCATCTCATATATATCACAAGTGAATGCAGGTCAACTGCAGTGAAAGACTTTCAGCCAATGTCCACCAAACAGCTATCAACGTGGGCGAGACTGCCCAGATGCCAAGCTTCCATACTCTAAATCAAGGATTCTTCTCCTTTTAAACTTCCTCCTTGTGTTTCTTCCATCTATCCTTCTCTTGATGGCCATCTTTAATTCACCCCGATCATTTCAAAATGTCAATGCTATTGCGCAGGCCCCAATGGGCGTCAACAGCTTCTTCATAAGCGCCCATGAAAGTCATCCCCCATTCTTACAATTAGTGCTGCTCGTCTTCTCAGCTGTACTGGAAGTCGTCTGCGTCAGCCTCCCTGGTTACATTGCTGCCCGTCAGGGCATGTTTGATGCTGATGCCCAAAAGCTGGTGGCAAACCTCAATGTGACTCTGTTCACCCCTTGCCTCAGTATGGATTGCTCTCGCCATGAGATATTTTATGACATAGCTGATTTTGTTCGACAGTTTTTACCAAATTGGGCTCGCAATTAACCGCCGAGAAGCTGACGGACCTGGCTATCATCCCGGTTATTTTTATTGTCCAGACATTCGTCTCATACATCTGTTCCTTCGTTGTCGCAAAATGTTGCCGCTTCAAGAAGCGGCAATCGAATTTCGTGGCCGCCATGGCGGTATGTGATACGCCATGCCATTTGAGAGAGTTGAATATCTAATTCTAACGACACTCTCTGTAGGTCTTCGGCAATTCAAACTCTCTCCCGATCTCTCTCGTCATGTCGCTCTCACAGACCCTCAAAGGCCTCCACTGGGATCGGCTCCCAAACGACAACGATGACGAAGTCGCCGCACGTGGCATTCTATACCTGCTTATCTTCCAGCAGCTAGGTCAGCTCGTGCGCTGGAGTTGGGGATACCACATTCTCTTAGCGCCTAAGGACCGATACATCGAGGAGGCGGAGCGCGAAGAGAGTGGCCAATCAGTCATCGAGCAGGGCCAGGCGCGGTACAGCGACAATCCGGACCAGACAGATCCGGACGAACCGCTAGTCCGGACACGCAGCTCTGACGATCTACTCCATGCCCACGCAACGCATGCCGAGCACCGGTTCCCATCCGGCGACCAAACACCCGTGTCAACGCGAACTTATTCATACTCGAAGCTGTCCTCCGCTCACTCAGACGACGACTCAGACGATGCACCGTCAGCGATTGGACCACCACCCGCCGGGCCATTCCTCCCCGTCAAAGCTCCCAAGGCGACATTCTCCAGTTCCCGGATGTCGAAACCACCGCGCGCGAAGCCGAGGAAGCCGAGAAAACGTGTTTCCAGCGCTGCAAAGCATCTCTGCGCAGATCGCGAGACCGTCTGAGCCAGTGGCGAGAAAAGAAAACCAACGCCCTTCACGCGCGTCTCCCACCAAAGGTCCAAAAAGGGTCTAGCATCAGCCTCGCACGGACTGCGGCGCTTCTTCCATGGCTTATGGGACTTCATGAACCCGCCGCTGTGGGCAATGCTAGTATCAATCGTCGTTGCTTCCGTCCCAATGCTCCAGCGCCTTTTCTTCCACGAGGGCACCTTCGTTCGCAACTCAGTTACCCGCGCAATCGAGCAGAACGGACAGGTCGCCGTGCCGCTGATCCTGGTCGTACTCGGCGCGAACCTCGCGCGCAATACCATCCCCGAAGAGGCGCTAGCGGATGTGGAACATCCGCGCGACGAACGCAAGCTTATCATCGCTTCACTTGTTGCGCGCATGCTTCTCCCGACTCTTATCATGGCGCCGATTTTGGCGCTTATGGCCAAGTTCGTGCCGATTAGTATCCTCGATGATCCGATTTTCATTATTGTCTGCTTCCTACTTACGGGTGCGCCGTCGGCATTGCAGTTGGCGCAGATCTGTCAGATCAATAATGTTTATGTTGGTGCTATGTCGAAACTCTTGTTCCAGAGTTATGTTGTCTGGTAAGTCATTATTCGTCCCATTTACAGAGAAAAGACACCTAGTCGTCAATCTCATGCATTGACCATTGCTAACATGGCATTTCCTTCTTTCCAGGATCCTCCCCTCGACCCTTGTGCTTGTCATGTGCGCTATGGAGGTCGTCGAGTGGGCCGCCTCTTCGTAGACTCTTCGCTTTGCACGTAGATGCCAAAGCTTGTCTTCCTCTTCTAGTCTTTTTTTTTTTGGGGTTTCTATATTCGCTCTCTTTGGACATTCCTGTAACTACCCATTCCTTTTTCTCTTTTGGGGGGATTGGCGTACCTAAGACATTATTCCTTGTACACAGACTGTACTTTTCTCAGCCTATGGACCTATCGTGATGCCTATCTCTATGAAATTGTATATCATTATTTGCTATAGGGGGGTTTTTTGGGGTGGACAACCTACTTGATGGGGGCCTGTATAACAAAAAATGATCAATCCACACATCTGACTGCATCTACACCTTACCTAGCTTCTACACAGCTGCATGAGAAACCACCCTGCGTCAACACATCCACCTCCCCCTCCTCAAAGGAACCCAACCAAGCCCATCAACACCCCATCAAAATGGCAAAATCAACATCAGACATCTTCATGAGCATAAAACCAGGGCACATGCAAAACATAGCCTCAGGGTCCAAAAACCACGAATACCGCGGCTATCTCCTTCCGTCAAGCATCAAGCACATCTGGTTCTACACCACAAGCCCTATTCAACGAATCGAATACGTGGCTCGTATTTCTCCAGGTAAAATCCCAGGAGAAGTTCCCGGCGACGGAGGTTTTGGCAATGCGGAGTTCAATGCCGGGTTGAAAGTATCCAAGTACGGATATGAGATTCTCGCACTGTGGAGGTTGAAGATGCCCGTTAGCTTGGAGAAGGCCCTTGTTGAGGGATTCTTGAAGGGCGCGCCACAGAAGTATTGTTGGGTTTCTTTGGATTGCTTAGGGGGGGTTTCTGCTGGATGGGCAGGATTTGTTGTTTTCAAAGACGGATGGTTTGCAGTTTAGGGAGGAAGATCAGTGTGATAGACTGACTGGATTTGGCGGGTTAAGAGTCTACTTTTATTCTTTTGGCATTTCCACAACTAGAAGACTGTTACGCCTAACAACTGCTGCAGACTGTTCCTTTTGCAACAGCTAAAGCTTGTCTGGACACCTGTCAGATAGGCCAGTTCCCGACTTCCCCCTGCTAAAGTCCTCGAGCACCCCGTATCCCACGAAGTGTCCAACTGGCCCCTTCGATGTACGACCGTAGACCATGCCGTAGCTCTTAGCGCAGAAGCAGAGACCCATGGACATTGGCTCCATGCGAAGTGGCACTGAGACTGCAGGCAATGGGAATGTGCGCATGTCGCATACCAGTGGTCCATGTTAATGGCCATTCCATCACGTCTTACAATTCAGAGATGTAGTGGCACTGTTGTGTCTAGGGCTGGGATTGGTCCGAGTATCCGTCGACCGGTTTTCATGGGGCTTGATTAGAAAACTGACTGTGGTAGATAGACATGATCATGCCACAGGGCTTCTACAGCATAAATCCTAGGTTCCTCTCTCTGGTCATCTTGTACACGGGCGTACCTGCAATTTCACGTTAGCAGAGTCAACATCGAACAGATGCTCTATCAAACTTACTCCAAGAAAAGTCGAAACATGTAAACGTCTATATCATCATTTCTGATCGTCCTGGCCGCCCAAGACTGGCCCTCTTCGCCGATCGACCGAGCAATCTGCTGACCCGCAGGATCTTCCTCGAAAAACCGTATCAACTCAGGAATCTCATTCCCGTCTTTGTTAATCGGTACGTAGTGGACCCATGGGACCAAAACGTCCTGATGCCACTCCCGGAAGAAGGTCAACTTGAACGGAACACTCTTGCTGCGCATGAAGGCGTAAAACCTCCCGCTGTAGGCATGACCATCCATATCTAACAGATACCGGTATTTCCAGGCCTCGCTCGCAGGATCTGGTTCCGCGATATCGTTGAAGAACACTTGCTCTTCATCGCAGTCCTCGTCGCAGTCCACGATCTCCATGAAGTGGGTATTGAAATATCCCTCGATCTGGGATCGATTTGCAATTTGGACGTCCCAGCCTTCACTACGGCCCGCAATACAGCTTGAATCGCTTTTTGGCTGCATTAGATACTGGGGCGATTGTGGATGGGTCAGATTTCCGATGATGCGCTGGCGTTGCAGGTTGCGCCAGGTGCCGTTCCGACTATGTCCTCCGGTAGTCTTTCCGCGCCAGTACAGCTGGTGTATCTTGTTCTCCCATTCAACTGAGGTTTCTGGATCGAAATTTGATATACCTTCGTAATAGTACGGCGAGGGAACTGCAATGTCCTGGAATGAAGACGGACGGGACATAGAAAACATCGGGACCAGCTCGTTTGTCACCTTGAAAGAGTTTGGGTGATCAAAAACTCCCAGCCGATGCCGCAGCGATGGGTTGTTGCACATATCACTAGCGGCAGTCTGGTTGAACACAAAGCCCAGAGGACCCACTGCATAAGCGCTTGAGTTGTCTGGCGCGTTACTATCCAGCGCCCTGGCAGGTGTGTCTAGTGGGCATGAAAGCCGTGAGTAGAGCCAGGTCTCTTGGCGCTCGATGTTGTTGAATCTGGTCGTGAAGACCGGCACTGGTGGGATAGGGTCATCCGTATCACCTGGCGAGAATGTGTTCAACAATGAAGAGTTACCATTGAGCCGAGCGTGAGCTGCATAGCCTTCAGTGATTAGCTTATGCAGCTCCTCGTGCGGAACTACCACTCGTGGTTCGTCGTGTACGTTGAATTCCATATTCATGTCCGGTAACCATTGGGAGAACTTGTCAAGAATCTTCATTGTTGCATCTCTCTGGAATCCGCCTTGGCCATTGCCCAAATGGATAGCTCTGCCGTCGCGAATCGCAATGCCCATAACGTGATTATCATACCCAAGATCCTCTCTCACACGCGAACGAATCGTGCTAGGTGCAAGTCCCCAGAAAGGCAGCAAAGTATGATATATCGTATCAAATTCATCAATCAGGACTGTGTTTCGCGACATCGCAAACGCATACCATTCATCGAAGTGCGGAGGTGGTGGCATCTTATATCGTCGTCGATATTCCGCCACTGCCTCGTCCAATGACTTCGACTGGTGCCCCAATGTCTCATTAAAAGCCCATTCAGCATCATAAACAAGCCGAGCGACTGGATGTTGACAAGCACGCTCGTCGATGAATGGATGCGAGAAAATATACCACAAGGCCAACATAGCCGCTATCGCCAGCCCAGGGATAGTAAAAGTTCTCTTCGAATTTTGCGAGTAATAATACTGAGACTTATGTCGAGCTCCTTGAAGGAGCTGGTATTGCTGTTCCCTCCATGTCCCTGAACGAATGGCCTCAGCCATAGTCACGACGCCGAGTTGCAGTGACTGCACCCAAGACCGAACGCAACGAACCGGCTGCATGTTGAGTGAGTGCTATAACCAGTTGTATTCGCAATATCATCCCAATTAGAAATGCATGAAAAAGATTAAGGGCAAATTACCGCCGCAGAACGCGAAAACGCGAACGCGGGCCATTGGGGGCCGGCCTGTGGGCCCAGGGATGGGGCATCCTACGGAGTAAAAGTACTGAAACCGCTGGGAAGTTGCACCTCAATAGAAATTTTCGTGTCATCTGTCGATGGTTGCTGGATTCTTCCAAGGATTAGAGCCCTGGGGACACCAAATGACAATGTGACCCGAGGTCACCTCAGTCACCTCAGTCACCTCAGGGCTGCCCCGGACTATCAAGCGAGAAGCCGCCATTTGAGGCTCTGGGGATTGTCAATATCGTCCCAAATTTGACTGACTTCAACACGAGACCTCCTTCTCTTTGGAATTTTTTTTATGGAGTACGGAATACTCCGGAGCTGGTCAGCTGTTTTCCCATAGGCTGTGAGCCATCTCCTGTTGCCCCTGAGGATCGTCGCTCATCTCGGAGAATCTCCGCTTCGGGCTAGACGTTGGGTTGGCAAAACACCAAATTTCGAAATATTGCCAACATTCACGTTCACATATTCGAGAGTTTCGGAAGTCGGTCACAAATGTGCCTAATCCTGAGAAATCAGGATACATCGTAAGACTGGTCGCTCCATAAGAGTCAATATGTATAACCCAAAAAATCATCCAGAACAGATGAGAAGCTAGGGTCTGAGTGTGAGTGACAATAGGTTGGCTAGTCGCAAGGCCAGAGATGGTCGATACATCTCAAAAAACAGGACATGATTCTCCGCTGTCAGCGTGCGCATCCAATCCCGCCTGATCGCCCTGCACATCAATCAACATGGCCATACCCGTCGCCGAATGCCAAAGCATATGGCAATGGAAAAGCCAAACGCCGGGGTTATCCGCCCGGAAACGGAGAACAGCATAGCCGCGACTTGGGATCTGGACTGTGTCACGCAAAGCAGCCCGGGATGTGTCGTACAGACCGGAATTATAACCAGTGCTGGGGTTATTGGCGTCATCTGTGTGATTTCTCAACGCATCTGACTCAGGTTCTAGGTGTGGTGGGATTTTGTCAACGAAAGGATTGTAGGAGCCCCAGCCAAATTCGGCTTGGTGGACTGCGAGTACGTAGAAGTGGTGGCCATGCTGGAGTGGATATTGATTAGCGGGCTGTCGCCAATAGGTAGGGAGAGAGGGGTCTTTGTACCATGTGGAAGGGGTGGGATCCTTCATCTAGATTGTTGATTACCAGATCTATCCATACGGGCTCCGGCCCCGTGGTTATTGCGAATTGGTTTGCGTCCCATTTGGCCCGTGGTATAGAGGCCAATGGAGCGGGTGGATCTTGCTGGGGCTTCCAGGTAGTCTGATTGAAGTAACCGAATGGTTTGTTGGAGTGTCGTGCCATCTTTTGGATCTTTGTGTAGACCACATGTGTTTGCTGCGCAATGGGAGGGATGGAACGGAGAATAGACGGCGCAGAAGGTGCTTCTCCGATGTTGAGATGGTTCGCCTTGAGCGGAGGTCCGTCAACGGCATCGGAACGGTAGTTGATGGCGAAGGTTTGATCAGGCGTCAATGCTGGGTTGGTGTACTTGAAGGAACTGGTGAGACGTTAGCAACCACCCGATCACTCAAGTGGTGCTCGGCAAATTTGTTCATACTCTTGATCGAACTGAATCCTCATGTGTGACTGCTTCTCAGACGTCTGCAATAATGGCCGAAGAATAAAATCCATGCGTTGCCCTGGTAAAAGTACGCCGATGGAATTTATATTCCTTTCTTTGGAGCGTGCCACATCGACACTATCCACCTGAAGCAGGTCCAAGAGATGGTTGTCGAAAACGAGACTTAGCCCGGCTAGAGCTCTGTCAATTGGTTAGCTAATAACTGCTTTGGCTTTGATAAGCCCTATACATACCCAGTGTTGACCACGCGGATTCGATATGACGCATAAGGATCGAGGTCGATAAATGAATTATTCACTTGCTGATCAATGCAATCCACCGGCCTAGCAGGCACCGCCATCATGCAGTCAAAATGCCCTGCCCCATTGATGAGCATGGAATCGGGAACAGGCTGGTACCAGTGTCAGATAGTTACAGCGATTGGAGACACACTTCGAAACTCACCTCATTTCCAAAGTTCCCTGGGTCCATATACCATTCAAGAACATCACCCGCGGTGCGATGGTACCAGTCCCCCACGAGAAGCAAAAGTTCTCTGTCATAGGTGTATCGGGGGAGATTATCGCGCCTCCGGGGCATTAAGCTGGGAGCGGTCGATTTGGAAGCTGGTGCATGGACGACTAGCCCACCATAAAGGCCATCAGCCCGCGAGACCCCCGAATGGGCATGGTACCAGAAAGTTCCACTCTGATCGGACGGGATCGTCAAATTGTAAACAAAATGTCTTCCGGAAGTGATGGGACATTGTGAGATCCCCACTGCACCATCCATGGCATCTATGTGAGTTAGCCCCGATACTTTTAATCGAAGATCGGACGACGGCAGATGCTTACTAGCCACATGAAGGCCGTGCCAATGGAGAGCAATTGGTTCATCCGGCAAGGCATTGGTAACATTGATGATCAAGGTGTCACCAGGGCGGGCCTCCACCGTCGGTCCAGGGAAAAGGCCTAGTTCGATATCCTCCGGTCAGATCGACAAACGTGATACCAGTTAGTGCCTTCTACTGACCATTGATGAGATAGACCCGCTTCAATACACCGTCTGGTCTGCGAAATTCCGAGGTCACACGCCAGTCCAAATACTGAGTCGCGGGCGCCCGGTACACATGGTCCTCTGGGTGAAGTTCTATCCGCGGTCGAGCAATGATGGCCTCATCCTCTTGAATATTTTGATGATGCCGCCCGGGTAAAACCAAGGGCCCGAAAAAGACGGATGACTGGAGCAAATACATCAATCCGATCAAGAGGCATGCAGCCAATGAACAGCCCGCGATCGGCCATGGCCGCCCTGACAGCCCCGGCATTTGTCGAGGGGCCAATTGCTCCGAAATAGGGGCGGTTTTCCGATCTCGACTGTATTGCCTCTGCATGGTTTGGCAACGAACAGGATTATAGCCCATTTAACTTTGGGAATATCAGATATGTACGGAGTAAAGAAGGTCAAGTACCAAGTGAGTGCTGGAGGAGAGGACACTCCGCGCTATGACCTCATGCCTTGCTGCCAAAGGGATCAACGTGGTGCGACCTTACAGAAAGACATGCAACACACGTGCTCCTCCTGGTCAATCAGAGTGGAGATAGAATAATTAATGGTTGAATTAGAATGTCCAAGCGCATCTCTCCCACACATTACTGAGTGGAGAGAAGACATGGGCTAACCTTGGAAAGTACCTGTGGCACCCTGGGCTAAGCCCAAAGTATACAAGATCGTTCTTGCCGAAAGTCTGTTCCTGTTTAGCGTTGATCCAACCATGGAACCGCAGTTCACGTGGAGACACCTGCATATCAGATTGGATCAACAATGCACCACCTTCTCTCCTACTATAACCTCTACTATAACTCGACTTATGTTGTATATAGGCTTGCATTATTTTTCATTGTGCATGATCGGCAGCCATGCATCACCAAGAATGTCACCCTATCCCTGTGCCCAGGTGTTTACACCCCCATATTTCGATTCGTTCTTTCCTTGGTCTGGTGCTCCCATGAAGGAAAAACGTCTGCAGACCTCGGGATGTAACGAAGCCTCAAAGCTTGTGAGGGGTCCATAAGTAGTACATACACCTGCCTACATTAGGCAGGTAGCACTACTCCTCCCTTAGTTTTCTCCGCTGTCTGCATGCCTCGTTGGGGACACATAAGTAGTGGACTCTTCTCTGAGTCGAATTCTTTCCCCTCATTCATTCCTTCTGCAATCACCGAAATATGGCTCTCAACTTGCTAATGTGTATCGCTATTGCGATATCTCTAGGAACAAGGCCCGTTTCTGGTGGGTCTTTAAGTGACATCGAGCATGTCGTCATCTTCATGCAGGAGAATCGCTCGTGGGACACGGTACGTTTTGCCTGCACTATGAACCGTTTAAACCGTGCTCACCAAATCGCAGTATTTTGGGACTATGCCTGGAGTCCGGGGTTTCAATGATCCCAATGTACAGGTCAACTCTGACGGAAACTCGGTCTGGCACCAGTAAGTGTTGGGCACCGGAGCTCTTAGGGAAGAAATTGGTTCTAATATTCCGTGTCAGACTAGTCGAGCCGGCCCAGTCAAACAAGACCAAGACCTTGTTACCCTGGTATCTTGGATATCAAGGTGGCGACTGGCATGATGCGATTCAGTGCATGGTCGCAGGGAGCAACGGCTACGAGGAGAACCAGCAATCCCTAAACAACGGGTTGAACAACCATTGGGTGACTAAAAACACACCCTGGAGCTGGGGCTACTTGAAACGGCAAGATATTCCAGTTCAATTTGCTATTGCTGAAGGTTGGACATCGGGAGACATGTATCAGGTGCGCGGCCAGAGTCGATTCCAAAAAAGAAGAACTGGATACTGATCTGCAATCAGGAAAGTCAAATCACTGCCACCAATCCCAATCGGGTTACTTTGGTCAGCGGCTCTATCAATGTTCCTGGGAGTCCCCAGGACAAGGACCAGGGAGGCGTGTATATTGACAACAATGAGGTACCAGGTATGTATCGTCAACTACATCTTCTGTCCATCTTCGTATCCCTCTAGACAACCATGGTTTAGCTGCTCCATGACCTGACCAACATCGTACAGGCTGTGATAACCACGGTATTAACTGCTACCCACTCAAGTGGAAGACTGTCTATGACTTTTACGAAGAGGCGGGAGTCTCTTGGCAGCTTTTCCAAGACACAAACAACTTCGACGATAACCCTCTGGCTTGGTTCCAGCAGTTTCAAAGTGCCTCTAAAAATAGTCCTCTGGCCAAAAAGGGTATGTCGTTTGTTGGTCTCGATTCCTTCTATCAGGCTGCCGCCAACGGCACATTGCCGAGGTCAGCTTCATTGTTGGTCCGTCCGAGCTTTCTGAGCATCCGCCATACATGCCAAAGGATGGAGCCTGGCTCCAGAAAAAGATCGTCGATGCCGTCACCAGTAGCCCTAGGTATAACTCGACGCTTCTGATGATCAGCTTTGATGAGACTGGTGGCTTTGGCGACCATGTCACCCCCTTCCACTCCCCTAAGAACACCCCGGGAGAGTGGATGCAGGATCCCCTGGGTATGTTCTCGGATATCTTTGTGGGGCCCGGTTTCCGAGTACCGTTCTATATAATCTCTCCCTGGACCCGAGGAAACCGCGTATTCACTGAGCGGGCAGATCACAACTCCCAGATTCTCTTCGTTGAGGAATGGCTGACAGCACGGGGATACAAGAATATCACAACCGATCAGATGGTTTCATGGAGACGGGCGCACATGTCTAATCTAGTCAACGCGCTTGATTTGGACCATCCTGACTACTCTCTCCCGGATCTTCCGGATGCCGGGACCCTGGATACCAACGAAAAGGGCGAGTATACTGGTACATCTAACTGCCAGGCTCGTCACAAGCAGACACGTCCAGATGTACCATACGGAGAACAGAGCAATGCAACGGATGTCAATACACTGTGGTTTGAAGAGGGTTTCAAAGAGGTGGTCGGCTACCTCACCGAGGGTCGATACCTAGTCTTTGAGAAAAATGGAGCAGCCATCACAAATCCGACCAGGGGAAGCAGCCTTGTAACCAGCGACACAAGCCCTCAGCACAACAATAAATCCCAGCGTTGGATAATCCACTACAACGACGACGAGGAAAGTCATACCTTTACCATCTCCAGCGCACTGGATGGAAGATGGGTCGGCCCTGGTGGTGCTTTGCTTCCCAAAAGCCAGAGTGCAAATGCAGCTCAAGTGCATTTCACCTTCTTAGGTGGTGGCCTTGGCTATACCCTGCAGTTTGTGGAGAAAGGGGGGTACATTGATATTGACAAGCTCGGGAACCTGAATGCTGAAGGTGCTAAACCTACCAGAGGCTACAAGGTCTTCAGCGTCTCCTTCCGGGATTAGACGATTAGATGTTGACTTGATGACGTTACGGAATCTGCATTATATCCCGAGGCTGCTGCCTGAGAACCGAGTTATTCTGAATATCCTAGCAACAAGACTCGGGCTGCCTGGAGCATGAATCCAACCACAATATAATATGCTCAAATTTATTTGTGCTGTCGTACTTTGTAAAGATATGGTAGTGGCTCGACTATGCATAATAAGATCATACCCCCTCTTCAGCCAAGTTCTAAATCGAGCCCGAAGTCTATGCGCGAATAACCGTAAATGGACCAGCAGCGTTGAACAAGCTAGGCATCTGCATAATATTGATTAGCCCCTGGAATCAAATAGAAGCCAAGAGAAATACAGCCCGAAAGCACATAGTCCCAACCCAGAAAAAGGCAAAATCGAAAAGGAAAGAAACATACCTGCGGCGCCGTTGAGAGAGTAGTTCCAACCCTCAAATACCAAAGTGAGCCATCCTTGACTTGAGGCAAGTCCTTCGGAATAGTAATGTCCACACCACCCGCCTTCTCCTTGATACCATCCGTGATCTTGATAGTCTTGTCGAAGGAGATGGCATCCATATTGCGCACAGGGTTATTGTACAGCCACACGCTGTAGTCGTCGCCAGGGTACTGGGTCAATGGGTCTGGGCAGCGTCCCGTGGGCTTCCGGTCGAAGTTGACACGCACGGTTTGGCCAGCGGAGACGGTCGAGTTGTCGGGGATGCCTTGGTAGACGTTTACGCAGGCATAGTCGCGCTTACCCCAAGCTAAATCATTCAAGAGAAGGAATTGTCAGTTTGGAATGTTGCAGATGGGTATAGAATCGCATACGCAGGTTCTTGTCGAACAAGGCAGTGCTGGTTCCCACCAGGGAAGCGACAATTGCTGCAGTGAACTTCATCTTGGAATTTTGGTGATTCAATGATAGGTAGGAGGGAGAACTGCGGATAGAATATGTTCAACGATAGTAGGAGAACCAGTGCCTTATATGCAAAATAGGAGCATACTATGTTTTTGCCTGCAATATTGTGCCACCGACGACATAATGACCCCCTAATTATAACTTTGGGCTCTGAAACCTGGTTTATATTGTATGGCATCCGAGTGATTATGTTTCACTCGGTCTCTCCACATGGACTTGGATTAAAAACCCGACTGCTTGGCGTCATTGGCGTGAGGAGTGATCGGCATAGCCGATCTCCGTCCGGGGACGCGAGCTACGGAATTTGTGCAGTCTGGTATATGTACCTAGTACTCCGTATACATAGTGGTGTATATTTCTATGCTCAGCTAAGCCCCTCTTTATATATTATTGCCTCTTGCTTTAGTTGCCTAATGGAGTCCCGTTTCATTCTTCTACAAATATGCCTTGCTTTGTGGTCAGGAGACATCTATCTATAGATCTCCATATTTTTAGTTGCTCCGCATAATTTATTATTGAGCTTGCCTATCCACCCTCTAGGTATAGTGCTATTTGGATGTCTCAGGGGAGAAGACCTCGACAATAATGGCCATGTGGATACACTGTCATCTGACAGCTCTGACTAGTTGATTTGCCCTTTTCAGCCAATTCATCTATTTTTTGGGTTTGTTCTTTCTGTCTCTTCGCTGTCCGAATCCTCTAGCCCAGTTCACCTGACATCTGTGCAGAAGCACTTGGCTGCATGAAATGTCTCATAATACGTCCAGCCATTAACCTTCACGAACTTTAGTTGCCAAAGAGCTCGTCCTTGTAAACCCATGTACTGTGCGCATGAGGTTTTATTGCTGTATTGCATTGCAACCAATATAAATGCCCCCCAGCTGAATTTTATGTTCTTGCTATTTTCACTCGCATCCTCATTCCATCCACTGGCTTAGAAGTAATCTCCAGTGTCTGAACTTTGTTAGTAAACAAATACCACTTCTGACTGTGCAGGTAGTCCTGTCGGGTACTCACATTGTACAGCCCTGACTGGACTTCGTATTGTCCGTTTTCCTTTTCAATCGGCGCACCTGATTCATCCCGCTTGGTCGCCCCAAGTCCTACTTTCTCCCAGTTATATCGCCGTGTCGCACATGCCAGAATCACAAGTGCTTCGATATTCGCCAGCTCTTGTCCAATGCAGTTGCGTGGTCCACGCTCGAAGGGCCGCCAAGCACTCGCCGGTATGCTGGAGCCAGTCTCCAACCAGCGCTGGGGAATAAACTGATCGCTCTTGTCACCATACACGGCTTGGTCACGCTGTATTATACTCTGGCAGTTGTAGAGCATCATTCCGTCCAGGCACACATCTTGACCATCTGGTAGTCGAACGCTTAATCCAGTGTTTTGGGAGAATCGGGCTGTCGCAGCTGGTGGATACAGACGAAGAATCTCCTTAACAACGGCAGAAGTGTAGACCATTCTTTGGAGAACACTCTCCCCATGTCCTAAGATTTGATCTCGAATGTGGGCTGGGTGCGAGTTAGGACCAAAGATGTCATCCAGTTCCATGCAAACACGGCGCAAGACCTGCGGGGTGCGAGCTAGTTCGTAGAATGTCCATTGTAGCAAGATGCTTGTCGTATCGTGGCCAGCAAATAGGAAAGTCTTGAGTTGATCGCAAGTCCGGTCTAGAACTTCGGGCGTTAACTCCTGCGTTTCGGCTAGACTTAGAGCAAGCACACTGCGAGACGAATTTTGTGAAGTCGACCGCTCCTGGAACTTTTCCTTGAACTTTTCCTTGATACACTCTTTGATATGCGCACTAAGTCGACGAGAAATTAACTTTCTCTGGAGCGGAAGTATAACTTTCCATCCGCTATAGCCGGAACGCCAAGTTGAGGCGAGTTTGCGGAAGAGTCGAACGATTGCACTTTGCTTCTCTTCTCCCAGTTGAGCATCCAGATCAATATCCATGGTGACCGCGCCGATAATGTCAAATGTCAAATTCGTACACAGCTCATCCAGTGGAAACTCCTCGCCAGTGCTGGCGTAATGATCAAGCTTCGTCAAGAAAAGTTGTGTCTTATCTAGAATGCATGGCATCAGACTGATGAGATGCTGGTGCGCAAATCCCGGGTTCAACTGTTTGCGAAGGCCTTTCCACTCTTCTCCCTAGACTTCGCTTAGTATAACCTATATGCACCTCAATCGACCCTTCAACCTACCTCTGCAAGAACAATTGAGAGTGGACCCATCAGATCTCTATACCAGTGTGCTGTGAATGACTTGGGGGGACTAAATGGAAACAGCTTCGAAATTTTGGATATTTGCTCTGCAACATTATGATCGCCGATCACGCACATGGGATGGCTCACTGGTCGCAAATCGACAATAAATAGTGCCGGCTTGCCGAGATAATTGTGCATAGCTTTGAAGATTTCATCTAGCAACCACTGTCAGTTTTATATTCCAAGCTAAAAGTTGTCTCATCCAACCGATGTGTATATTTGGCCGATTTGTCTTCACGAGTTTGTCGATTGTGGACAAATGACCCCATAGTAGCGATGGTGGAAGCTGGGGCAACCAGGCATATTGTTCTGTTCGGTAATATACGACCTTTTTCCAAATATAGAAAAGAAGAAGTGGAATGATCGTAGCAACTAGAGTCCAGGCCATGATATGACCAGTTAAAATCGTGGTAATTGTCAGTCTTGCGATACCTGCAGGTCAACACCCGACACTAGGATCGGGTTTTAGTTTGAGCGAGCTGGCACCTCGCTTAAATTGCGATAGAGCATTTAGGATAACAAAAGCACTACGAAGATTACTAGATATAGACGGGACGTCGAAACGCCTTTCTACAAGACCACAACAGGCGTGTAGTGTATGTCAATCCATGTATGAAGGGCTACGAAGTCCTCTCACTATTCTATTGGATTATTGTTGGACTGACGGCAACGTTCGATTATGTCCAGAAAAGCCTCCAAGATGGAAATATTGCTATGATTTATTCAATGCCTACATATATCTGCTCCGATACCTATATAGTAGCTAGGTAGGTATGCATAGATCAAATTAGGAACATTTGAATACGGTAGACCGCTTGATACGGTAATTTACCAAGCTTCCCCTCATCTCCCTTCAAGTTCCAACCTCCAACCTGACCTCTTCTTTGTGTCAACATTGAACATTGAACAACATATGTACTGATGCTCATCACAGGAGTCTGAGACTCTGAAAACGCCGAATTTTCCAGCATCCACATGTTATATTATGTACTTCGTACTGGATAACATGCTCCAATGTTCCCACTAGACCGGAGCCGAGACCAAAGAAAAGCTTCCTTTGGCGCCAGGCTCATCTCCCATATGCGACAAATTCAAAGCCATGAGCGCCATGTACCTATATTATCGACCGATATCGCCCAGGCGGTTTTCTAACATTGCGATGTTTCCTCTTTCTGCAACTGGTTCCGATACCGAACAAGCCATGGCCACAAATCCCCATGCAACGGCATCAAGTACGACCTTGAGTGCGAGGGACTTCCCAGATATTCCCAGATATTCCGAATCCTTAGGATGATGATTCTTTATGCGATCCCACTGGAACATTGAAGTATGGCGATAAGTAAAACCCACTGGCAGGAACCAGGAACGTTGTCTGCCCGATTAGCCAGGCACCAAAAACAGTCACCTGAGCGATAAGCATCCAATTTTTTCGCCACTTTTTCACTTCGAACATATTCCCCCACCATCAGAGACTAGATCGCCCAGGACTTTCTTTCCAGTGTCCTTGGTGCTCTACGCTTACTCTGGAGGTTCTTTTCACACGGAACTTCCCCGGATTTCGTCGTTTTGAATCTGTGGGTAGCATTCCAGGGACCACCTCCGACTAACTTGACCGCTGGGACGTTTCCGTTCGCTTGTCCACCCGTGTGGTTTTAAGGGGTCCAATTATTTCCCCCCACCTCGGTCTCCCCTTTTTTTGTTTTAAAAGAATCGTCGACTGGGCACCTTTTTTTGGCTAGAAACAGCTTTCGCAACTGGTCGCGTGCTCAAAGAGATAAGCCCTTGAGCCTCCGTGTCTTGGCTTACCCGTGGAGCACAAACCATTCAAAATCCACAGGTAGGCTCCCATCTCCTTTTCCCAGCACGTTCCTTGTGCGGACTCTCGTGTAGATAAGGAATCCATGTATCGCTGTGTGTTCTTCCTCCATATAAGTACACGTTGTCCCCTTGTAATTCCGTGGGGCAACTCGACTCGCCCCAGCAACACCCCACTCGAATCCTTTCTTAATCCCAACCATACTAATTCCCAACAGATTCATCTAATACGGCAACAGACTTGGATATCAACTCTTTGACCAAGGCCTTGCACGCAAGTGGAACCGTTGCCGGCTCCCCGCCAGACGGAACTCATCTGAAACAGTACAGGGCTCACATGTCCCCCAAAGCCCATTACGCAACCATCATTCACAATGCCTTCTCTGGAAGATCACTCGAGTTCCAAGCCTCGCGAGGATCAAGAGCAATCCATCAGACCCGAGGAAGATTCCCAACAGGGCCTTCTATTTCACCAAGTATACGAATGGCTTCACCATGAGAAAACCAGACGACAGAATCGTAAAGCACGCAAAGCGGAAGCAACCTCCCATGCAACAAACGGAAACGAGTCAAATGAAGAAGATGGCGTTTTAGAAAGACCCAGCTCAAACACTTCGAACACCTCGGAGAGCACCTTCTCCCTCGATAAACTGGAAAAAATCCTCCTCCAATATGCGACTACCCGGCCTAGAAGTGCAATGGGCTTGCCCCAGAAGCAACCTGTCAAACGGCAATCTCGACATCGTCTTAAAGGCCTACGAAGAGGCTCGGCATCCGAGTCTGAACTCACAGATGTCGATGGGGCCCCGCCAAGCGTGGAAGCTTTCCTTGACAATACAAAGACGCTTGCCTACACCGGGGGCGCTGCAGTAGAAGAGAACCCCGACTCCAGTGCGAGTGTGAAACAAGCAAAGGATGCAGAGGCTTGGGTGGTTTTCAAGTCCGAGATTGTGCGCCTTGCACACACTCTGCAGCTGAAGGGCTGGCGCAGGGTGACCGCGGAGTTGGCAGGAGATATTGAAGTGGTCCGACTCAGCGGTGCTCTCACAAATGCCGTGTATGTAGTTGGACCGCCGAAAAACATGCCTTCTCCAAAGAGCGATAGCAACAGTCTGGTTTCAAGAAAGCCCCCGCCGTAAGCAACGAATTGCCCTCCCCACTTTGGAGACGTATCTAACTGGATTTACAGGAAGCTTCTCTTGCGTATCTACGGTCCTCAAGTCGATCATTTAATTGATCGAGAGAATGAGTTGCAAATTCTTCGTCGCCTCGGAAAGAAGAATATTGGCCCACGCATTCTCGGAACTTTCATGAATGGCCGGTTCGAAGAGTACTTTGAGGCTCGCCCACTCACTCCCAGGGAGCTGCGGATGCCTGAAACGGCTAGGCAAGTTGCGAAGCGCATGAGAGAATTGCACGATGGCGTTGAACTTCTCGAAGAAGAACGTGAAGGAGGACCTATGATCTTCAAGAATTGGGATAAATGGGTGGACCGTTGCGAGCAAGTGATGACCTGGTTGGATAAAGAAATCCAATCCCCTCAAAATGAGGCTAAAGCTGCATTGGAGCCATGGCGTCGCCGTGGCTATGTCTGCGGCGTAACGTGGGACGTGTTCCGCAAAGCCGTGGAAAACTACCGGCGTTGGCTGGTTGCCAGCTCTGGTGGAACTGCCGAAATCAAGCGACAGCTAGTGTTTGCGCACAACGATGTAAGCTTTCATTCTCTTGCACCTTTCCTTAATATGTTATTGACTCGTTGTCTAGACTCAATATGGCAATCTACTTCGCATGGAGCCGGCCACAGAGTCACCGCTGCTTCTGCCTGCAAATGAACACAAGCAGCTGATCGTCATCGACTTTGAGTACTCTTCTGCCAATACACGTGGACTCGAGTTCGCCAACCACTTTGTAAGTCAACTAATCCAATCACCAATCGCCAATCCAAATGGATGCTAACTGGAACAGACCGAGTGGTGTTACAACTATCACGACGAAGAACGCTCATGGGCTTGCAACAACCGCAACTACCCGACCTCAGAGCAGCAGTACCAATTCGTGGCAACCTACCTTACCCACAGACCTCACAGCACCGGCGGACCTATTTCACCCCTGTCCTCGCCGACCATCCACGCTCGCGCTCCTGTTGCGGTTGCACCATTGGACTTGGACGAAGGGTCTGATAGACCCAGTTCTCGGCTTTCGCAAAACGAGCAGTCTAAAGAGAGTGAACTTGACGCCGAGGTACGATTCCTCATGCAGCAGACCCGGATGTGGCGGGCGATGAACTCCGCGCAATGGGTAGCTTGGGGGATCGTCCAGGCCAAGGTGCCTGGAATGGAAGAAGGTATTGCTGAGATGCTTGCTGCTCGCAACGGGCCAAGCGAAAACGGCAATGGCGACGACACTAAGACGCCGCCTGTGGACACAGAGATCGAAGAAGATGATGGGGACTTTGACTACCTGGCTTACGCGCAGGACCGAGTCATGTTCTTCTGGGGTGATCTGCTGTCACTGAATCTGATCAAACCAGAGGAACTGCCTGCGCCTCTATTGGAGCACGTCAAGTCGCGGCTTGTCGCATACTAAAATTGGAGGAGAATCAACGATAATCTTCAGGACGGAGGCTTGTTCATACACATCGTCATGATTTACAATGTGGACGCCAGTACATAGCACTGCGTCAAGTCGGTGATTTATCACACCTACATGTATCTACACTATAGCGTTGGGGTTTCAACATCATCATCGAATACCATATCTTGTTTTTATTTCATTTCGATCATCCTAATCATCTCACAAAGGGTATCTGAGAAATGTCATTGTAGAAAAATCAACCGACGCCCAACCTTCTAGCGGCCCATCTCAAGCTTCTTCCTCGTCTCCCTCTTCGCACCCTCAACCCACTCCCCATAAGCCTTCCCCTCAGGATCCTTCTCCTTAACCCCAACAACCCCCTTCATGATCTCCCCAATGAACCCAACAAAATTACACCGTCTGAGCGTATTCTCCCACTGCCATGCAGCCCTCTTCCTCTCCTCCCTCTCAAGTGTCTCCACATCCCCAATCTCCCTCGCCCTCCCCCTCGGATCCTTCACAACAGCCATAAGATTGAAATGCGTCTCCTCAGGAGGATACCGCGCAATACGCCTCTGCAGAACCTCAATAACCTTCTCAGGAAACTCCCCAGTCCCACACGGCCCATGGCTAATAGGATACGGCTGCAGACCATCAAGCTCGTACAGCGTCCCATTGACAGGCGTATACGCAATGAAATGGTAAACATCCGCACCCTTCTCATCATCCTGCGGCCGCGTCGTCTCATCGGCGAACGGGCTCGCACGCGCAAAGCTATTATGCGCGGTCCGGATAGTTTCCGAGTTCGAGAGCGCTTCGCCGCGCAGTTCAGGCGGGAATCCCGTTGTGAAGTCTTTGAAGGAGCGTAGCTCTTCGCCGAGCTCGATTGCTGGCTGTGGTGCGGGCGGGTTGTCGTGGTTGAGGATTACGGAGAGGATGGCTTGTGTGCCGCAGGCGTTTTGAATTGTTTGTGCGGCGAAGAAGAGGTTGTCTGTGGCGGTTTGGTCGTAGGTTCCGTCGAGCGGGGCTTCGGCGCGTGCGCCGGCTGCTTCGCGTGTCCATTTGAAGAGGAAGATTACGCCGTAGACTGGGCTGTTTTGGAGGGTTGGGGTTAGCTTTTGTTTTTGGGTATTTTCTTTGGGGGTCTGGATGTGGTTGAATTGAGGGTTTCGGGACGTCTTCTTGCTTACCCTAGTGACCGGATTGTCTCTGCGTCTAGGGAGATGAGCTCTTCGAATTGGGTGTCTTTTACTCCGAGTGTCTCGATCAGAGAGGTGAAGAGACCCTGGGTTGTGTTAGTATGCCGCTTGGATAGATCGTGGGGATGGTGGTACCTCATCTGACTCGATAGTACTCCAGCCACCGACATCAGCCATTTTAACTGCTCTGTGATGGATGCTGATGGGGATTGAATGGAAGATGTTGTGTTGTCGATATCGAGGATGCTTTCTTCCCCAAAAGGGAATGCGGTTATGTCATTGTCACGTGAAGCTTGGTCGGTAGACTCAAGTCACGTGCGCCTCCACTATAAAGTAGAGGTTGCTTGAGTTCTCTAACATATTGGGGGCAGCACGCAAGGAATAACTATAAAACTGCGAGTATATTGAAGCTTAAGGGGAGGGAATGACGATTTTTCTGTGAGTCCCGTCCCAAGATCTCACTTAGAGCAAAGATGCACCCTAGATAGGGAACACCAGGAAGTATACGGAGTACAACGTTGATGGATATGAGGTCAATAGAAGTGACGAGTTATACTTTCCTCGATTTGGACGGAGGAATATATCTCGAGGCCTGGTAAATAGACAGAATATCTCGAAAAGGAGTAATAAAAGTAGAACCAGTAGTCACCCTGCTGCCCCGGAGAGTTGATGAACAGAAAGAAAACGAAGTGAACAGCCGAACATCCCCGACATTCAAACCAAAAATAGTTCTAAGTAGATCCATTACTATATTGTAGATGCAATCAAAATCTTCCGATTCCAACTACATACTAAGTTGCATTGACCATCTGTTAGTGCAAGGACCAAGAGAGTGCTATCGAAGACGCGAATGCGAATATTCAAGATATTCAATTTCTCATTCTCCGACAACAGTATTAGTATTCCCCACAGAGTAGTGTCGAAGACTAATGTTCGGTATGCAATGGAATTAGCTGAAGAAAAGATAAATATAGAAAAACACGAGGGGGGACGATCGTTAACTTTAATTTTCCGTGTGGCGATCTATAACCACAACGGTGATAATACGATGGGGAGATAATAATAACATTTCAACCATGTACATTCCAACAAAATCCTAAGCTGAATGAAGGAAAGGTAAAAAGAAAGCAACCCATCTCCCAAAAATAGACGACACTCGGCACATAGGGCTGCAGCCACTGCAAAGCAACGATGTCATACCACATTGTAGATGCATGAAGAAAATACGGAGTCCTACCGGAGTAAGAATTGACCTCGGATCCCAAAACACGCTAACCCCTCGACAACCTGAGAACGCTATCCTTCACATCTGATATACGAATTCCCAAATCCTCAGCGGAACCAAATCGGTGCTAGCTCGGGGGCTTGCTACCCCTTTGGGATGGATCTAGGGAAGCCATGCGGGCGGCCGAATACGAGGTCTGGAGAAATGTGGCCGGTGGGGTACCAATCAGAGGAATGGATCTGTAGTCTAAATTCCCTTAATATGTGTCCCGTGCTTTTTGGTTGCTTCATCTTGTCTATTCTTAGGATGGGGGTCTGTGACGATCGTTCCCGTGGGGGCTGGTACCTGTCGATCAATGTGCGGTGAGGTGCAGGTGCATTCTTCGGTTATGGAGAGTAAAGGGTTGCTATCTTTAGATATGGAGGTATTACAGGGTGAGGTAATGATCTTTTTGTTGGGGGGTTTTGAGGTCTGCTTCCGAGATCGTTGGGATGGGTATAGTTCTAAGGCTATAGTCCCGAATAACGAATAGACACATTACTCAATGCACATACGGACACTCCAAGTCAGATGAACAAAATATTTGATAAAACCAGGGTATATAAAATCAATATCAAAATATCAGTTTGAGTCAATTCCCTCCGGCTTGCAACTGCAACCGGGTATAAAATCCAAACCGGTCATAAACAGACACAAATCCACACATCAACGCTCATGCTCAGCATAAGTAAGGTCCAAATATAGAAGAAGAAAAGAGTCGAGTGGCGAAAACGAAACACTCGCGTATAATGATCCAAAAAGAACATGTTCTTTGAGTCCAACTCCCAGTCGAACATAACTCCGTAGCCTTCGTATTTTCAAAGACGTGAGAGAGATCAAATTCCCTCCTGGTACCCAATAGCCAGAATGCGACTGTCCAGGCCTGCTCAGGGAGGTAGCCAAAGATTTCCCCGTATTTGATGATTTTTGTTTCGTTTTCTGGTATAAAACACAGCACAGCCTGACAATCAAGTCCAAAGTGAAGTAGGAGCAGCCAAGCCCGGCATTTCAAACGGATGTGTCTGTGGATAGACCTCCATATTGAGACCGAGTGTGCCATCCGCGCGCGGCAAACCGGCGCACATCACATCGCCACCATACGGCGGGGTGTAAGCCGCTGAATGAGGAATAGAAGCATGAGAATTGGGGTGGCCATGACCCAAATCCGACAGACCGATGTGCACGTCGTGGTTATCGAGAAGCTGTGGGGAGGGCGGGTACAGGGAATGGGAGGTTGTGGCGGAGACATAGCCGTCTTGGATGGGGAAGCCAGAGTTGGCAATAGCGACGGCAGGAGGGGAATGCAAGGGCGGGGTATAAGCGGCGTAAGAAGTTGAGGCGGAAGCAGGCGAGGAAGAGGTGACGAGCGGGTACTCGTGCATATTGTGGTGGAAGGGGCTGGGTGGGCCAGGGGAGTAATGGTCGACTGATGAGCGGGGGGACCAGGGGAGGTGGAGGTGGCTGCGATAGCGGGCGACGACGCTGCGGGGCAAGTCCATGAGTTCCAGGGGTAGACGCAGGTCGGTGTTGAAGGGGTTTGCAGAGTTGTGGGTTGCTATTATGCGGTATATCTCTTCGATGGGACTAATGAATAGGGCACCCAGGTATGCGCCGCCTAGCTCAGGGAAGAAGCGGTCGAGAGCGATGCCGACGGCGAAGAATTGGGCTAGAATTGGGAGAGCGCTAATATCTGACTCGCTGCTTCGGAGCATGGAGGGTGGGAGCCAGAAGAGCCAGCGGCGGAGGGTTTGGATGCTTTCGAAGGATTGTTCGGTTGTTTGGTTGGGGAAGTCATCACGGAATTGCTGTGTGAATTCAATGAGTTCTCCCTAGGCGTTGGAAGTGCTCAAGGTTGTGGGAAATGCGTTTCTGTGTCATTCGCAGGGCCTGGATCGTTTGGTCCAGGTGCACCATGTCTTCATCGAGTGGTTGATAGACTCCGGCCATTGAAAGATCTGTCGTACTCAGTGCTCGTTGGTTTTCTATCAACTGTGCAATATCTGACTCTTGCTTCCAATATGGATGCATGGACTCTAGGACGCTAGAGATGCCATGTTGCAAAGATGCCCAACTTTGACTGTCCTGTTGTCAGTGGGGGGGACTTCCAAGGGGGCAGAATCTATAACACTCACTGGTCTGTCGCCTGCCATGATAAAAGAACGGAAGCCGCGAGAATCGCATCGCAGTTCTCCTTCGAGAAGGATCCCAGAGCCGTCTGAAGTCCCTGGAGAGCCGTGACTTTATGACGGAAAGCCAGCTGCTTAGTCTCCTGATCTCGCGTAAGGAAAGCAAGATGAAACGCCGAAAAGCTCAAGATAGAGCTCATAACGAAGTCGCTGCCCAGCGAAATAGCCAGGAAACTATAGAATGTCACTCGTCAGCAAGGACCATCAACCCTAGCAAAATCCGGAGTTGTACTCACTTGGGCATCTTCTGCGCCCACACAGTGCAGCCACTTAACCCTCGACGATGCAAGTCAATAGAAAGCCCAATGATATGGTGAATCAAGCGCAAATCGGTCCGTGACAAGCCAGACCACCCAGATCGCGGGCACTGCAAGAGCTCCGGATATGGAGGCACTCCAGTGCGATGCCAATTATCTATTTCCATTTCGATCTCTGGCGAAATGAGGAGGTCAGGGCCCCGGCGTGGCGGCGAGGGACTACCACCTTGAGTGGCAGCCGTATCTTGGTAGTCACAACGGCAGTTGTGCTTTGTGCAATTGCGGCTAGTTGCAGTTAGTATGTGTATACTGGTATAGATTGAAGGAACATACCATTGTGGGAAGGTCTCGTCGCATCGAATATGTCTTCTCTTGCAAGTCTTGCAGCCGTTACGGGATTTGGTGTGGCTCTTGCGTGGTGGACCGCCGCCTGGACCGACCATTTTGAAGACTGAGATATAGGGACTGGAGTCGAGGACTCCACAGGTGAATGTTCCAAGGTTGTGAAAGAGTTGGTGATGGGCAGGTATGCCCTGTAGTTATAAAGAACTGAGAGAAGCTCTAGTCCAATCTCCAAAAATAACTTTGGGGGCCGTTGAGGTTTGAAGAATAAGTTGAATTAAGCACGTGGAGAATACGAGCGCTCTGGAGATCTTTAAGTGAAGATTAACAAGGAAAGGGAAGTTGACCTCGGGAGTATGTAGAAAGGAAATACTATAACGGTTGAAAGTCAGCCAGATATCTGACTTAAATTTCACTTTCTCTTTCCTCTTATTATTTTCTTATTATATTTTATTATTTTCCAGTGACGATCGAGATTTTGAGCCTCTGGGTACAGGGGGGCAGTAAGCCAAGGAAAAAGTAAAGAAAAACAGAAATAAAATAGAAATAAAATAAAATATGTAAAGAAATAGGTCAAAAATACCTAAGAAAATATGTGAAATATAATATTAAGTACTCCGTAAAAACATATAAGTAGAAAAAGAAAAAGAAAAGAAAAAGAAAATACCCAAAAAGGCCAGTCTAATATAGCACTCGCTCATTTCAGGTGGACCACATGGGTAGCTTATATTAGCTGCCTTCATAGGCTAGTCCATTCCACTCGCATGTGAGCCCGTCTGACAGGGATAGTCGATATTGCATTGTTCCATGTGGAAATTTTTTTTTTTCTTTAACTCTGGACTAAACTGGTTGGGTAACCTTAGAAGAACCCATCTAACCCTAAAGATCCTCTGGTTCCAGTTCTACGGAGCACAGAGATCCTATTACTTTTATAGGAGATGATTATCAGTCAAACGAAAAGAAAATAGTTCGCGGCTCACGGGTGAATTTTCAAGCTGATTCATGTGTCAATTTCTTTTTTCTTTTTTTTGCTTTTTTCCCCTAAATCTCATCCCGCGTTCCAAGGACATAGTTCCAGCCAAGAATATGTGTCTCTACGAAAGGGAGCCTCTGATCAGACCCCGGACTTCAAAAATGATAGAATATAGAGCAATAATGGAAGAAAATATAGTAATCGATCGACCTTGTTGCCTCGCAAGGCTCTCGATCTGGGAGGACCCTGGATTGTGGGTCGCTGTCAAGGGACACCGTTAACCCCGTTGGGAAAAGAAAAAAAGAGGAGTCAATACTTGCGCTATCCTAGACGCCCTAGACGCATTGGGAGTGTGGCTCTCTGGCTCTTCCACTCGCTAAGATTCAAGCTTAGCCTGACAGGCGGAAGTTGCCCGTTTCTACCCGCCTGTGAGTCAGATGGGAGATTAAACGGACTTGGTAATCACAGCCGAATATAGAACAGGAAAAATAGACGACTGTCCGGAGGAGAGGTATCGAGAAATCCAAAATTAAATAAAACCCTTAGTCTTACACTTGGACCCTGGAGACTGGAGGCAACGTGTGAGCGTTGAGTCCGCAACCAAGGGGGTGTAAGACCAGTCTATCGGGATCACCGCATCCACATCTCCATTTCTCCCTTTTCGTTTTCCTTTTTACGCCCTTATCCTTAACACCCTTGACTGACCTATTGCGATCGTTGCCCCAGGTCGGAACTACCCTATCTCCTTCTCCGGTGAAGTTACCACTGGGCTGGAACGTATGGAAACCCTGTCTGGTAAGCCTGAAAGTGTACGACGTCAATCGGCCCAAAGTGGGAAATGAACCCCTGATGGTCTAGTCTCCAGGTGTACAGGGATCAGAGAGACCTGTAAGCTCAAAATGATCATCAAAAAAAAAAGGGAGAACCCAGGGTAATTCGCGGAATGGGCCTCATTCCTGCAGGGCCCAGGGGCTGACTCCAGGATAGAACGGTGGGAATGTTGAAAGGTAAAAGGGCTGTTCGCTTGGAATCGCATGCACTCTAGCCCAAACTGGGTAATTTAAGGCCAAGTCAGCATCTTGAGGATGTTGTATGTATATCTACCTCCGAATTCTAAGAGGTGACTCCCTTGGAACTATAGAAGTGTAACATGCTATGCATATTTATGTGACACCGCCAGATTGGGCCTGGGGGACCACGTTTTTCTGGGGATCAGACGTGGAACAAGGCATGCGTTCTAAAGTCGGTGTGTGCCACCTTCTGATCTGGACGGGGTCTTCTGTCCGACCATATTTAGGTACTGCAGTCATGACGATGATTACTCCCAAGGGATGATTTAGCTCGCCACACGTGGCACCATAGTCGCACAGTGATTATGATTATATCATCATTCTCCCTAATCTATGTTTGACAGGTTTGACGTTTCAGAGACGAATACGCTGCCTTCCTTTCAAGGCTTCCAAGGCTTGGCTTCTTGGCTTCTCGAGATCCAATGACCCAGGAATGCTAGGAATGGTATGCGGGTCACCGGAAATGTTCGGGCGACGCTATTTTTCTCCGCAGATGTGAAGGAACACAAAATGAGAAATGTCCAATCAGAAACGACGAGCCTCGCTTGTTCGCAACATCAGGCCAAACGTGGTCTAGTTTGGGGGCCAAAAGTCCTGGGTGGATTGCTTTTTGACTCTGATCAACTTTATTATTTATCTTTTTTCCTTCTTTCCGATCTAACCTTTTTGCGGCAGGATATCGCCGGAATTGACGGGAAGTTCTTGGTATTCAATATATAGTTTTACTCGTCTACCTCCGCGGGGTACCCTTTTCCTAGGCCAACTGCAAACACATCCCCGTGATCTTAAAACTGTGGTAAAACTGTGGTAAGCAGATCGACCCAACCTTGGAATCCAAGCGCTCCTACCAGAAAAAGAAATAAGAATCATGGAGCCCCCCAGTTCTCTACCGCTAAATCAGAGACACAGCCCGTGGAATTGCGGTACGCTAACCAACTCTATTTCGCCAAGACTTGGGCTATCCTGGACTTGTGTGGGGACTTTGTGATTTTCTCTTGTAGATCATAGATCAATGAACTACCAGACTGCTGGGCTGGTCTACGGGTCTAAGAGCCCATTAGGTCATCTGCACGAATACACCTTGTACATATTTCCGCATTTACATTAAATGTCTTCTTGCAATATGAAATACCCAATACCTTGAACATGTTGTATGTAAGGCACGTCTCTCAAAGAGCCAGGACACCTCAAAATCTAAGACTTCCAAATGGAAAGTCTCTCCTTTAGGAAAGGAGATATAGCCATGTGAAACAGAGATCGACGGCAATCTTGATTCTCCGTACTAGTAAGTACCTACCATGGTCCTGGCCTTGGAGGTATAACATCCCAACCAAATAGAGTCCTTAGCGTCAACTCTGTTTCCAAGCCACCGCCATCCTTCCATCTTTGTTCAATTGCCCAACTCCTGAGACGAATGCCCGACAACTTGATACGTGGAACTGTGAGGCTGACAGCCCTTCCAGGGTTGTTCGTGCATGAGATCATTATGACCTTCCCCTTAGGTAAAGGTCACACTCCCTTCTAGACAGACCGCCTGTCGAGCAAGCAACATGGCATTCCTGGGCATATCATACATAGATGTGCTATATACAATCAACGCCCCAATGTCGGGTGTAATAAGTCGGGTGTAATAATGAGAAAAACATGATGGCAGAGCCACCCGCCTCCACGATCCCGAATGGCCGCAGTAGACATCTACACAAGATCAATGTCATTGGAGGCAAGAGGCAACGAAATCTATATTGGACATTCTTTCATATCATGAGCCTCCGTTACAGGTGTCTTCTCTTCTTCTACTTGTATATATCACGTCCATACTTTCACATGTCGCATTAGTTGATCCATCAATATTTCACGAGGCTGAACAAGAAATACCCGTGTACTGCACCTGGTTACAACTCCATTCCAACACGTCAAGATGGGCTTCCACAGATCATCCAAGGGCATCAATATTAGGGATAAGCATATCCTCACTGCTTACTGCCAGCGGCCCTCCGGGGAATCTAGATATTCAGAGTTGGATCTGAATGAATTTATTGGAGCAAACAAGGGTAAGGGCAATTTCCTAGCACCATGACTGAGATCAGACCCATATTCAGTGCTTTAGTGCTTCTGTGCTGACCCGAAACTGACATTGACATGCCAATCTAGGACAACTGGCCTGGGGCTCCCACGACTTCTCGAGAAGTTCACGCAACGTCAACTTCCAGCTAGAAGGTCCCGAAAACAATCCCATGCTGTATGCCCAACTCGAAGATAGCGAAGGAAACGTCCGAGAGAGCCAAATGAACCTGGCAGATTGCATCAAAAACGAAGATGGCCATCTGAGCTTCATGGAATGTTTCTAGTGGCAGGATCAGTGTTGTCTCATATCATTTCAAATTGTGGTATAGAGGAAATAGATCATTGATTTAACCATTAGTTTCCTATCATTTGAAAGTGTCAGCCTTCCTAGTATCTACAATTCAGGTAACTCTTGGGTACAGTAGCACACGTGGACAAGTCAACGGAATATTACAGCTGAGGCTGAAAATAATATCCCGGGCAAATTCCATCAAAGCCAATACCTCGACTCCGTAAACCTACCAAACTCATTTCCAGACCCCTGAGAGCATTGTATGCATGAAGTATGACCCGAAAGAAAGCCTAGTTCGTAATATGTATTTCGTAATATACCCGTTTAGGGCAGAGAGCATCAATCACGGGAAGTCGGAAATCCCGAGCCAACAAGAACAAACAGACTTGAGTCCAATCCACCCGGGCACAAGTCCACAATAGCCCTCAGTCATCACATATCTGCAAGCCGCACAAGGTATAGCCCGGGTTCTCTACAGCAAAAATGGAAAAAAGGAATAAACCGACGCACGTCCAGGGCCTCGAATGGGCGCATTACGCGAACCAGGCGCCCGGGACGCTGTAGGTACATTGCACCTTGCATCAACGTCTGTCATGGACACATGGTTTTTAATCACAGGGTGAGATGTGGGGGAGGACATACGGGATGCTTCCAAGGTTCGTGAAAAAGAGTAGTTAAGGGAAAGGCTCGCGTCTTGGTATTTCGGGGGTTTGTCTGAGCGGCCAATGGAGGAAAGGGGCACTTGCCGAGTTAATTATAACGCGCCAATTAGGCGAGAGCCGGGCCTTTAGGTTTCTATATTATTGGTTCTCTTGCTCTTTCTGTTTTCATCTTATCTTACTATCGACGTTAGTGTTGTATTTACGGGGAGGTTAGGGCTTCGGTGGTCGATCGCGGTTAGTAGAATGGGGATGTGATTTCTGATTCTTCCCTGTGTGATGTATGCGATATGCATCTCTCTGCTGCTAGGTTATTAACGGAAGGTGACTAGGTACAGGCCTCGGGAGTCCTCCGTACTCCGTACACAGTACACCGTACGGAGTACTTCCCATGCATATTCTCTGCATCCAAAAATAAATCTGCAGTTCGGAGATTGCTCGGGCCTTGCTGATCTTAATCTTGCCTTGCTTTTTCTCCATCCACTCCATATTGGTCTCAGGTTAAGCAAGTCGATCTTGGTATGTGCTCTTGACTTTCTGGGGGCCAGGCACAGATCGTGAGATGTGGACGAAATAGGTATGAAAATGCGTTGGCACTAGCGCGTGATCGACTTGTCCAGCTTCGTCTATTTTTCTTTTTTTTCTTTTTTTTTTCAGAGGCAGATCGGATTGCTAAATTAGAAAATCATAAAAGCTAACTGGTTGAATACTATTTAGCTGGTCGCAATGTTTTGTCCATACTTGGCCAACGAGTATAACAAAAATACTAAAAATGATTTTATACTCCATGGACAACCCTGGCAATCCTCAGTTATACTTGGTAGAAATTGTTACAATCTTACTACCCAATGTCTACATATGTATTGTAGTCAGTGGGACAGCATGTGTGATCTCTCTCATAATATATATATATATATATATCCCGAATATAGCAGGAAAAGACATCTAAAAAAGAAGGGTCCAAGATGCTACCAGACATGCTACAGAGTACTTGCCCGTGTTGGAACATAGCATACTAAAACTCTACACTCCGGGCTTTCAGAAATGTTCGAGATCTTCACAAAGATCTATCTAGGTATCTATCTAAAGGGGATATGGATATGCCACGCAAAAAACCCCCAAAACCAGCGCTGAGAAGACAAAAAAAGAAAAAAAAAAGCAACCTATGAACCCTAACTTGATGACTATGCACAGTGAATGCAAAATAATAATCAAGAAAGCAAAACGAAATAGAAATCATAAAGGGTCATGCGTGCCCATCTTGCAATCATGAGATGTAACGTAAAAAAACAGCTAAATCGCAGATGCTCCTTCCCATGATTTTGCCCTCCTTTCTCCCTCCTCTTTCTATTAACGTGAAATTCCGGCCGCTGACCCCCTACTGATCCCTCCGGGACCCCCTCGCCTCTTTCCTCCAACATAACCCCCGCCCGATTTGAGACAGGAGTGCATGTAAACCAACATCCCGGTAACCGAAGTCGGAGCAGATCTCACCAAGTTCTCTGCTTAGACCTGGTACACGGTGCGTAGTGTCTGGGCCACGGCTGGGGGTAGCTGGCCAAGGAAGTTGCTGAAGTCAGGGATCAAGGCCTTGTATCCCTGGAGGACCTATATTTATCCGTCTTGATTAGTGGGATGTTAGCAGCCAAGGGAAAAAATGATCTTACCTGTTGGAAGGATAACTGGATATCCCGGTACTCTTCCTGTGCCAGCGAGCGGGCGGGGAACGAAGCAATTGCCTGGAAGTAGTCGAGCAGGCTCGACTCCATAGCCTGCGGGTTCTTCATCACCACCTGGTTAAATCCGAGGAAGGCGGAAGCCTTTTCGCGCGTGAAGTCAATCTTGTCCATTGACCTCAGGAAAGGTCCGGAACACTCGCTCAAATGGGGCGCAATCTGATCCGCACAGCAGAATCCCAATCGTCCCAACGCCATCGCGGCGTTTTCGTTCACCGAATCGATGATTTCCTCATTGGTGATAATCGTAAAGAGCCCCTGGTACAGCTGCTCCGCAAAGGGCGAAAGCCCGGCGTTCTCGTGGACGGCGATCTCGCCGCACGACCAACAGGCGTTGTTCAAAACACTGAAGCCCGTATGACGGTCGTCATCGCGAATCAGGTCCAAGTCAAGTTGCTTAATCAAAACCGGGATAAGGGTGGGAAGGAAGGGTTTCAACTGAGGGAAGATGCTGATGGCGCAGTCTCCCAGCAAAGCATATGTTGATTGACGGACTTCATAGTTTTCATCCTGCATGCAGTAGCGCATGAGCTCGAAGAAAGATGGCTGTGAGGTACTCACGAGCTCGCCGCTCTTTTGTGGGTCGATGGCCTGAATGATCGCACTAAGAAGGTCAATGCTAGTAACAAGGAAGTCCTTGTCCGGCTCGTCAGCCGCAGGGTGTGTCGGTTGAATGGAAGCTTGCAAGTTTCCGTAAATGATCTTTATGCAGCGCATGAAAAGAGGCGGCGCAAACTGGGCAAAAGCATCGCCGTAGGCGGCAGAGATGTATCCGAGGCATTCAAGCAACGGGAACAGCTCTCGGGAATCATCAGAAATGTAGTTATAGCGGCCGATGAGGGCAGGCATCAAGATCTCAATTAGATGCGGCCTGGCAAGCTCGCTCATAACACATTCAGCGAGCGTCTGCACGCAATCATAAAGGATGTACATGTTGCGGTCCTTGTACTTATTGAAGCACGCCACAAACTGGCGCAAGATAGGCTCACAGTAGGGCGCCAGGTTATCCTCCGACTTCTCCTCCAGACTAGCGAACGCTGACGCAGCAGCTTCTTGGACCTTCTTGTTGTTGTCCAACATGCGATGAAGTATACCTTCCATCATGGGCTCAAAGAATTGGACTTTTTGAGCGGGGTCGCGGAGATGGGCTGCCCAACCGGAATAACGGGCCAAGCACCAGCAAGTGATTTGTCGCACAACAGGCTGGTTATCATTGAGGAGTGAGATGAGGTAAGGGACCAACTCTGGGAGATGGGGAGTGATAGCATCCATACAGCCGTCCGCCACCGCACCTAGTGTAAGGACAGCGGCCTCCCGGTTCGGCCACTGCTCGTGGCGCAGAGTTTCCGTCAGATATGGCAGAAGGATTTCAAAGACAGGACGGTGGTAAACGGTGGAGAAAACATCGAGCGCAGCAGCAGAGCACTTGCGCAAAGTCCAGTTACCGGAGGGATCATCTCCGAATTCCGAGTCCTCAATTTCACCTTCACTTAAGTCGTCGTCATCCTCTGTCTGTTGCTCGAGCGCGCGGGAGGATTCCGGTTGTTCACCTGGCTTGGACACATTTAGACGGTCACCCTTCGATTTGGCAAATTGTGGCTTTAGATCCTCAGCGCGATCCTCGGCGTCGGCATCATCTTGCTCGTCCATCAGTCGAGCCACTTCATCCTCATCATAGATCATGTTTTGCAGAAGCACGGGGATGATCTTGGGCATGTATGGGGCCAGTTCGGCCTGCAATCGCTCTTGCTCTCCAGCACCAATCCAAAACTCGGCGGCGTCAAGCGCAAGCTCTGGGTCGTCCTGAGATTGCTGCTGCATGATGATGTAGTTGACCAATCCTTCCATGTGCGGGGCCAACTTTTCCGGCGCAGTCTCAACAAGTTGGGAGAACGACTGACACACCATTTGCCGGACTGTGGTGTTTTCATCACCCGCAATTCTGAACAATTGCGAAAGAAATTGGTCGAGCGAATTCACCAATGCCTGGGGTCTGGATGGCAAGAAAACGTGGATGGCGTTGAGAGCAGCAATCCGAATGCGCGAACTCTCCAACGAAGTGAATTGCAGCAAGCTGGGAATGATGATATCCAAGGGACGTTGGCCCTGGTAGTCACGGTCCAGAACTTTGCGGTTGTCCTCACAGACCTTGCACAATGCATCCATTGCCGCTTCCCTAGCCGACATGGGGACATCCCCGTTGGCATTAGCGACAGTAGTCAACAGCTCATTGACAATCTCAGGCCATGCCAAGAGGCCACCGTGAAGCACCATTGCAGTGATAACGTTACCGGCAGCTCTCGAGACATTGCGGTCGGTGTCGCGTAGTGTAACCAGAGCCGCGGACTTGATGAAAGCCAGACTTTGAGGGGAGATCGTGCTGTAAGCAAGGGCAATCTTTGTCTTGACGTTTACGGCGGCGGCAAATCGAACAGTGGAGTATTCAGTCTCGTTGATTCCTGCCAGGGGAGCAGATTGCGGATTGGAAAAGATGTAAGTGATGTAGTTGACGTAATCGGGAGAAGAGGTCGCTTGTGCGAGCATCTATTCACCCAAAAGAATCCAGGGTTAGTTTCCATCTAGGAGTAGTGTATGTG